ATTCTGCATTTGTTCTCATAATAGAAAGGTGACATAACAGCTATATGATCAAGATATTCAATAATCAGAAGCAATGGTTCATCTTTGTTACTCATTAATGACTACTTAGTTCCAACTCATATGAACAGCACATACAGATAGCCAAATCTTCCACTTGTTCTTTTTTTCCAATGCATTCCTGTTCTGTTCTTTATAGATTAGCTTCCTTTGAAACTCCTCCCACAGCTGACCTAAGATGGACTTAACAGTTTCAATTATGATTAAAAGAACTAAAACAGCTTAACCAAGGCTGCCTAACTGTGATTTTATAATAATTAACTGAACTCCAGGACCAACTTAGAGAGTAAGCTAATAAATATTTGTTGATAGTATAGCTTAATCTTCCCCATTGTAATTCTTTCCATGATTGTGAAAGGCAGAGAATTCTTTCTTTGGGATTTCCCTTCCCAAAGGCTGGGTTCAAGAAAGAAATTACTGTCTACTAGAGATAAACCACATATCTGAAGGAAAGCCTTAAGGCCTTGCCTTACACATTCCAGGGAATGCACGCAGTATCCATCAGAAAAAGGAAAAAAAGTGTCTCAACAGAGAGCCTATCCACTGCTTTTAAAAAGGTCTGCCTTGTCATTTCCCCATGCCAGCCAAGCAGCTGTGCAGAAGCATTATGGAGACAAAATTAGCAGAAGGCAAGGAAAAGTTTAGGATGTTCAATTCTTCTTTTGTCCCTTTCTCAATACCTAATAAAGAGTTGGTTACCTAAAACCAAAGTTTTTATCACAGTAGAATTAGAAGAAAAATTAATCTTCAGGCTAGATTAGAGTTAGATTTTTTTTTTTTAAAGTCTAGAAGCATTAGCTCAGATCAAAACACATTGTAACATGTATTTTTAATAGGGACCGACTTCCTATTTTCACTTCCATCTTAGCCCCTTGATAGAAAGGGCAGGAGATTAAGGTGGCAAGTGTGTGGGAAAGGGATGATTGGGCTCAAAAGAGGCAGTACATGCAAGAACCAAAATTAAAAATTTATAATAATTTGGGGATAGAATCATCCCTTCCATAGCATGTTTCAGCCCTCAGACATTTTTGAGAAGTCGTCCTCTATTTGTGAAAAACTTCATGAAAAGTTTTGAAGTTTCCCCCTCAGTATGTGCTCGATAATCTTTTTTTCTATCATATACCTTTTGTGGCCTATCAAAGTTAAATTTCTTTCAGATGTCTTACAATTTTTTTAAGTGTGGAGAAAATAAATAATGCATGGTGATTGTGTGACTTCTGAAACAAGACTGCTTGATTTAGAAACTTGGCTACTGAGTGACCTTGGGCAAGTTCCTGAACATCTATAAACATATAAACTTGAGTTTCCTCATCTCCAGAATGGGAACTGTAATACTTATAGTCTCATAGATTATTGGGAGAACTACATGAGACAATGCTCATAAAATGCTTAGCACAGTGCTTGACAGACTCAAAAGTGTTAGCTATTAGTAGTAGTGTACTTTAAAATGCACTGACAAATATATACCATCAGAAGGCTTCTATCATATGGTGTATCATCCAAACTAGAACAGTTTGAGAGTTAATTAATAAACATTAATAATAATTACACAGAGATAACAAGTGTAAAACCAGGACGTCCTGGGCCGACTGCGGCATATAGTTACCCTAATAATTTCCAACTTTATTACCTTCTTCTGATCCACCTCCCCTCTCAACTCTTCCCTGGTATGAATCATAATCTATTTCAATCACATTTCGATATGTATACTTTTTTCTAAATTGTAACTATTAAATCAACAAATGAAAAGGTTAAATGCTGCTGCTTAACGCCCTTCAATGTAGGCTTTCACTTAAGAATATTATCTTTCTTTGAGTAACTGCTTTTTCCTACTCCCTTAAGCTAATACTTAATAGCTTTACCTTTTTTTCTATAGCTTTTTGTTTTTTAAAAAAATGTTTAGCATCAACTACGCAATGAAAATAGGCAATACATAGGTATTAAGCATAATTTGAGATGTAGTAAGGAGCTAAATGCCCTGCTCTAGCATGCCAACTATGTTACATAAAAACTTTTTTTTAGGCAGCATGTCATTCTTGTTTCAAAGTAGGAGTAAATCATTGTAGATGACGACCATATCATAATCAGAATGT